AACATCGTGAGAAATTGACTTGGCCAGGACATTAATTTTAGGTACCATCGTAGGCTAGGTATGGTGACTGAATGGCGAGTCACAGTTTGACGGGAAGTTGAAGAAGTCAGATGCCATGCACTTCTGACATGGTGGAGCTTTGGCGAGTCATGATCATACCTCCACCAGGAGCCAAAATCACATTTGGCGCTGGTACCAAGCTGCGATAGATAGCTCACGTGCAGGACACGTGGTTGCACGAGATTAATAGCAATGAGATTGTTAGCTGCATCGAGCCGAGCTATAAAGGCAGAAACGGTTGTGAGCCGAGGTCTTGTGACGAGACGAAGAAGAGCGATTGTATAATGCGGGATCAATAGATTATCTCTTAATACGAAGATCACGAGTGTATCTCGTGTTCTTCAACTTATGTCTGATGGGGCTGTTAGAAATAATTGCGAATTGTTGTCTTCTTGACCAAGATCGTTAGAGTGTGAATCATTTTGAGTCTCTAGTCCAATCGCATTGACCTGCAGATTTAAAAGATAATTTCTCATTGTCGTGATGTGATGTTACTGCTGAGTTAGCACTGTTGTGTGATGAGCCCATTGTGCGAGCAGTAAAGCTGCGCGGAAGAGCGGCGAGAAAGATTTCTTCATTGCAAATTGAGTGACCAAAAAAGTCTTCTGGGTATTAAGTACCCCAAACTATGTCCAGCGCAAGCTTTTTTTGAGCGGAAGAAATTTTCCATCGGAAATATGTCAAGGATTTGCAAAACAATTGTACGGTTGGGCATGGAGGAGGAGCTGTGCTCGTCATCCATCACAAATAAATTTGTCATAAAGGACACTGACAGCTATCCAAAAGGAATCTACAAAATCTTTCTATCATGTGTTGGAGGAATATCAGGACGTGGCAACCACGCGAGAAGAGTGCGCAGTGAAATTGACCTGATTTTCAAAACCAGATTTTGTATCGCATGGCGATGGCTCATGCCAGGGAACAATTTGGCGTCATTTATGCTCTCATTTGTGCAAACCACAAAGCATATTTTTAGCGAAAGGAAGTTAATACAACTGGCGCAGACGTTTGTGTTAGAAATTATTAATAAGGTGCGAAAGTGCATGCTTACAGTAACCAAATTACAACCACGAATCCGGCAAAATGTGACTCTCTAAACTGAAGGTGTTGCAGGTTGCAGAAAGCATGTTTAGCTGCACTTTGTTCAGTGCCCTCCACCAGGCGGATGGTTAAGAGCAACTGCTAATGACAGACAGCAGCGTCTCGTTTACATTTGAGGTGAGTGCTCAGAGCGAAATGCTTTAGAAGAGCTGATTATGCCACATGAATTGTCAAATGCACCAAGACATTAATTCTTCTGATTCACAGCTGTTTAACAAACTATTTAGTCATGTGAAAATTTCTATATCGAACACGTATTCGTCCACAGACGTGCAGCTCACAAGAAGACGGATGTAACTATTCACTTTAAACACGGTGGAGCGATGCTCGAATGCATGCGCTTGGATAGTTTATTTTTGCCAATATTAAACAAAGTGTCATAAACGCTGCCGGTGCCCCTACCCCAGGTTACCCCAGGTTCTTTAATTGAAAAGTATGGTATGCGGGCAGAAGTCGCGGAGGTAATGGCCGTACTATACTGGCCAGTACCTTTGGTTCAAGAAAACGAGTTGAAGATTTGGCTTGACCTGGTGATCTACTTGCACAACCACGGTACAGACAGTGCCGACATGGCACGACTGCTCACCAAACACCTATTTTTTATATGGCGCGGCATTTAGGTGTTGTAGATGAGACTGTTAAGGAAAGCCAGTCTTTTTTGTTTCTTTCGAATTCAGTCTGGCGATTCCACGTCGTCTGCTACGCTTTGGCTTTTGCAACAGGCTGCGCTTTGCTCCAGGCCAATGCCGACGGGAATCGTCAAGCGATTACAGTTGAGTCTTGCCAGCTGAAAGCTCCCGGGAAGAGCTACTTTTCATGACAAGGGGCTACTCGTGATGGCGTATACCCTCGTTAAGCTCAGAGCACACATGCTTCACTCTGAGTCTTTTGTGAACTATACAGCTCATTTATCGATGCCCACAGCAGCCTCGCCACCACGACTAACATTGAAATGACCATATAGTTATTCTTCGATGCCGAGTATACCTTGGAGGTTAGCT